TCCGATCCAATATATAAACGTACACACACACACACACACACACACACACACACACACACACACACACACACAAAACCTGCGTTTTATAATTAGTAAGATTTTTTAAAATCGGGAAATATTCAATGAAGCTGCAGTTACATCCATAAAACCCCTAGAATATTATAAACTACTCAAGTACAAAATATATTAAAAAAAATCGTAGAAGGTAAAACTAAAAAAAAAAAGTAGAAAAAAAAATCACTGTATAATTTTTATCACTGTATCGTTATTTTAACTCCACTTATTGCCTCAATGTAAAGCCTAATATTGGACGAATCTAGCAACAATTGGAAACTATTAGTAAACATTTAAAAGAAAAAAACATTAAAGAGTTTCACACTATCACATCTATATCCCATCGTAACATCGTAATATGTTATTGAATAATTAACACTTGTGCCTATTAATGGATACAAAATTCCGTTGTAATTTACTTCTTTTCGTAGTTTTTCAATTAAACATGACCCATATATATATATATATATATATATATATATATATATATATATATATATATATATATATATATATATATATATATATATGTATGCATATATATATATATATATATATATATATATATATATATATATATATATATGGTCTTAAGTGATTATCGCACAAAATTTCATAACTGAAACAATTAAGATCCTCATACGTCGAAACCAACGGGAAATTCCTATATATATATATATATATATATATATTTATATATATATATATATATATACACAAATATAGATAATTATACTCGTTTCGAAAGACCCTCGAATTTTTGATTTGATAATAATCAAATCAATCTCGAGGGAAAAAAAAGGTTTTAAAAAAAGAACGAGCTAGAAACATGAAAGTCTGTCAAAAAAAATCCCACAGATACAGGTCTGAAGCCCAAAGAAAAAAACCCCGATACGAGTAAACAATTAATTAACAAAAGACCTCAATACAACCGTAGAGCAGACCTAGATACACCTTGTGAGCCAGACAAACCTACCTAGGTTTCACCTAAACGAATCGTCAGGGAAAAGCCGGCTCTCCCTGACGATCCGTTTAGGTGAAACCTGGGTAGGTTTGTCTGGCTCACTAGGTTTATATATATATATATATATATATATATATATATGCGTGTGTGTGTGGGTATATTATTAAGTCATAATTTTCGACTAAATAATTATATATATATATATGCGTGTATGTGTGTGTGTAAATATACAGGGTGCGATGGCTAACTTATCGCTATTTCATATCTTTAATTTCGCGCATGCGCGTTTGTTTTTGATTTTGTCGAGTGCACAGTATAGTAGGGTCAGTTGGGCACCGTCTATGAGAAAAGGAGTACGATGGCGCAATTCATTCCGTCAGAAATTTGGAAGCGGCCTGCTGTTTGTTCCAATACCAACACTTCAGAGTGTTTGGGTGTCAATGGACAGTGTTGAAGAAAGAGTTGGATGAGTCTAATGGTGATTACGAAGATGCGGTATCTTGGAAAACACAATCTGAACGTTCTGATAAGAAAAGAACATCCAAATTTGTTGGTGAAGGCATCATACTCAACCCGGAGGTCTACATGAATAACTTTAGGGGTTTTGCTGCTAAGAGTCAAGAGGATGGCTGCTGGGTGACCCTATGTCTGGCAAGCAAGACTCTGCACAATGTCACACAAGCAAGAGAACCCACTCATGGTTGTCAGACAATTTCTGCAACCACATCGCCCCTTATATCTGGTCAGCTAACTCCCCACACAACAACCCCTTTGATTATTATGTCCGGGGTGCAGTTGAGGGAGAGACCAACAAAATACCTAATGGCAATGATTATGGCAGCATTCTCCAACATAAAAAGAAGACCGTCTACTTGCAGGAGATTCTGATGCCGTCTTGATGCTGTTGTTCAAGCAAATGGCGATTTTATTGTAAAAATTTACTCTTTACTAGTTAAAAAAAAATTCTTTTGGTAAATATATCTGTTAAAATGAGATGTTAGTGTTATTTTCATTTTTAGAGTAATTTAAGCGACAATTTATCCATCGCAGCCACTACTTTTATAGGTGTGTATAGATACAGGTCTTTTGAATAGATATGTATAAATATACATTTATCTGTGTGTATGCATTTACATTTACAATAGATAGATATTACAAATAAATATTTGTATATGTACACCTTTGTATATCTATGTAAATGTGAATGCATATTATATATATATATATATATATATATATATATATATATATATATATATATATATATATATATATATATATATATATATATATATATATATATGTACTAAAATTGTCTATAGAACCTTATTTGGGTGCATCTGCTTTCAATGATTGCTTCTCATTTCAATGATACTGATTTTGCGCGATGATTCTTATCTTTGACTACTCGTGGTGTGATGGCTGGTGAATGAGGACTGTTTACATTTCTTCGTCTTCGCCAAATACGGCTGTTTGTCTGATTTTTAACAAGATAAGCCTTCATATCATAAAGAATAGAATTATCTTAACTAAGGGCGTGGACCAATATTAGAATAAAATTTTTTCCAAGGAGTGTACCTCAAAATTCTCAATTTTGAAAATGTCTGTCTCACAAGTCGGTTGCCAAAAAGATAGTCTTGGAGATTATTTTTCATTTTCCAGTAACCGTTTTCTTCATTCGCAGACATCGTAAGGAACTATCGTCTTCCGGGATGGTTCTTGTGATCACCTTGAAGATTTTATTCTCTTGCAATTTACATGATTCTCCCTGTCGACTTAAAATTTTTTTCTCTTACAATTTAATCTTTAATATCTTCCATGTTGTTTTTTTTGTAGATTTTCCTACTTCCGTCTGTACTTATTTTTCATTTCAGTTAAATTATTGCATTCTGGGTGAATAACTTTCATTTTCTCAAATATTTTAAAATAAGTTACACCTAAAAATAAAAGAATTTAATTTGTCTTGTGTTTAACAAGTCTGTATAAATTCTCCAAATATTTTATATCTATCTATCTATCTATCTATCTATCTATCTATCTATATATATATATATATATATATATGAATTTTGAGACATTTTTATGTTTATACATTCTTTTTTTATAGATACAAATATTAAAGTAAATGCTCTGTTTATAATAAACAGTATTATCATCATTCACCCGACAGGAATCTAACCTGTAACCTATACGGAACTGTCATATAGCCTGACGTGCTTTTACCGATTTCGCCACAGAGGGACGTTCCGTTAGTAAGGTCGATTTTACTGTTTTTAAACTACAATAATCCATGATTTTTTCACGTACAATCATATCCTCTCGATGCGTATCCAAATGTAAACAAATGACGTCACACATTATGAAATGGACAAAGTCCGACAATTATTTTAAGACATTTTTTATGTTTATACGTTCTTACGCATATTTTCTATGACAATTTCTCGGACATTCAGGCCGGTAAATGTTTATTATAAACCGAGCATTTACTTAAATATTTGTATCTATAAAAAAGAATGTACAAACATAAAAATGTCTTAAAATAATTGTCGGATTTTGTCCATTTCATAATGTGTGTGTATGTATATATGTGTGTGTGTTTGTGTGTGTGTACGTGTAGAATATTGGTATACCACATTTCCAGATACATTTTCTATAGAGGCAGATAATCGTTAGTAACCTATTCTGCT